CTAACTCCCCAGCCCCTCCATATGCTCCTTTAAATGTCAGATTTTCTTACAAATATTCAAAAACTTAAATGAAATATTGACTTGAAAACCACAATTAAGTCAAGTATGCAACTTACAGTAAGGAAACGATTGAGATCAGGAAAGTCAAAAACATTGGCAATTTCAGACAAGGTATTTAAAGTCATTTCTCTCTGGTGTGCTATGTCTTGTTTTCGTATCCGTATCTCAGTGTTATGGCAAGGAATATTTGGAAGCGCTGTCATCTGAGTAGAATGGAGGGATTCTACCAAAAACTACAGCAGAATCAATTTTGTTAGTTTTCACATAAGGAAAAATAATATTTAAGCAAAAATAAAGGGATAATATCAAATTGCATGCTAAGGATCACACCACAAATATACAAAAGACAAGGCATATATATTAAACTTACTTTTACCGGTTTAATCTTCTAATCATTAACTGAACATGTCTTTCTAAAAACAAAACACTGAATCCATAAGTCAAGTTGCAAAAATTAGTATCACTAAAAAGGTTAAAAAATGTATCTCCCTAAATATTAGTAACAGTGTAGTAATTCAATTAATCATTAAGGTGGTTTTCCTCTTTTACTTACATGTATTCCGAACAAAATGCAAGACTTCACTGTCTTAAATTTATCCCCACATTTAAGAGATCAATGCTAATGGACCAACAAAATGTTCTGACTAGTGTTTTTATTTGGCCAATGTATGTTTAATAGTTTCTTTGCCTTTGTCTTCAGATTCAAAGCTGTAATAAAAATGCCTGTTGTCTACTGAGGGCCTTTAGATAGAACCTCTAAAGAATGTATCTGACTGCCGGTCAACAACTACGACCCATTTCAGCTTGAAGAAGCCAGAGTGGTCATTGCCCATATTTCCCTCACAGCAGTTCGGGTTACTTCTTCAGAGGGGGGAATGTTGCAGGCAGCCGAGTTAGACAGAAATATTACAGGCAGTCAGAAAGGGCCAGGCCCTCAAGAAGACAAGATGGAAAACAAGGTGACTTTGCAACTTGGAAGAGACAGACACTCCCATATGGGCCACACCTGAAGATCAAGACAAAAAGAGGAAGCACAGATACATACTTCCCTAGGGATGGGCATTAGGGGTTGATATCCTAAATAGTATCAATCAACTTGAAAGAGCCCAAATGAGTCACTAGCCCAACCCCCAAAGGAAGAGACCCTGTTCCGTATTCGTGCCTGCTTGCTAAGTGACTTGCTTTCCCATTTGATACTGGATTTAATCAATTTTACCTGAGCAATGGTGCTTG